TTTTTCGGCTAAGCCGAATTTTTCACTATCGGCCAGGATCACTACTTGAGAACACCCTTAAACTCAAATTCGCAAACCGGTTCCAACCTCTATTCATTTCCCCTCACATTTCTGATTGGCCATATGGGCGCCACAAAAATTGATCATCTGACTTATTCTCAATCCTATTGGTTAACAGTATAATTAGTACAGTCCAATCAGAAGTGTAGGGGGAAATTAGCAAGATTCTAAACGTGAAAGTAACAACTTTCAGAAAACAATTACCAAATATTTATATAACGATAAGAACTTTTTAAAATGAAACGAAATATATCATTAATACGTAATCTAAAGTTTTTTATGTTAGTGGGTTTAATTTTACTTACAATCGCAATCATCTACATCTCTACGTTTGGATTTCTTTCCTATCCCGTTTCTACTGATGACGTTTCAATAGAAGTTAATGAAACTTACATAACTGAACCAATATTCGGTACCATGAATTATAGTGAATATATTCCCGGACATTTACCTTTAATTATTTCGATTCCACATGGTGGTCGTTTGTTCCCTCCTGAAATACCTGATAGAAAAAAAAAACTTCCAGGTGCTGTAAAATCCAATGATCTTAATACTCAAGTGATCGGTAGAGAACTTGCAGAAAATATAATGATACATTTCGAAGGAAGGCGACCTTATGTGATCATTAACCATCTTGGGAGAAGTAAAATTGATGTTAATAGACCAATAAAAGAAGGCGTCGAAGGAAAAGAAGATTCATTAGCATTGATTGCTTGGAATGATTATCATAATTTTATGCAGACCGCTATTAAAGATATTGAAGCAAATTTTGGTCGTGGACTTTTAATCGATATTCATGGTACGTTTATTTTTTTATAAAGTATTCCTGGCGCCGCCAAGTAAAACCAAGAATTCTAAATTTAGACATTATTTATTAAATTATCTAAATTTAGAATCTTGATTTTCGCTTTGCGGTATTTATAATATAATTGATTGATTTTAACTAAATTTATTATTTTTTTTATAGGTCATACTCACCCAGAACATTTTGTTGAGATTGGTTATGTACTTTCATCTGAAATTCTTTCACTTCCTACCTCACAAATCAATGCGAACCCTGAGATTCATTCAGGATCAAGTATTCGTTCTCTATATAATAGAAAACAATCGAATAACCTCCAATTTGCAGACTTACTTTACGGTAAAACTACTTCTCTTGGTGGTCGTTTACAATCCCATGGCTATGATACAGTTCCATCACATATACATAAACACCCAAATGACAATGAAAAATATTTTCATGGTGGTTATTGTGTGCAAAAATA